TGGATCTCGTCATCACCAAATCACGTGTTAAGCTTCTCTTCATAGCCAGGGTGGTTAGTATCCATAACAACTATAATTTTGATTATAACCATCAAGTTATCATCTCCATAGCCAACTCTTTAATAATTAGTATGCATAAGAACTGGTCGCCCTGATTAAAGCCTTATTTTATTTCCACAAAAGGTGCTGTTACTTATGTTTTAGACTAATAATATTTACATTAACACTTGGCATTTGTGTGGCATATATATTCAACAAATTCATTTATCATGATTCAAATTTTGGTGAATATATGTAAGATGTATGTATGAGGGTGGGGAAAAGACAAGTATTATAACAGTATTGAGTTTGTCTCTGGGCATTGTGACCTTACGTTGAACTTAAAAAATTTTTTTTTCCTATTTTGAGGGACCATGAATCAGGAAAAATGTAAGAAATTTCCATGCAGACATACATACATAGAGGAATTAAGATTAAATAACAAAGTGTTCTTTGAGAGAGAAATTTAGGGGCTGGAGGTGTAGCTCAGTGGTAGAGCACGTACCTCAGTGGTAGAGCTCTAGGAAGGCCCTGTGCACTAAATTCTCAGCACCAAACAAACAAAACCCATATTACTTCCTGATAAATTCTTAGTGAGCCACCCAAATCTTTGAAGAACAAGAAGTGAATAAACTTTGATTGTAGAGGGGAGAACCTCTTAGATGCAGTAGTCAGAAAATGGAAAGTAATCCTTGTAAGATTATGATCTGCTTATGACATTACAAAGGCATTGAGCGATACTTAAAGATTATGGAAGTCTTGGAAAGAAAAGCCCATCAGCATCAAAGTGGGATTGCAGGTTGTCTTCTGAAGTACTGGTATTACCAGCAAGGGTTTTTATGTTTATTTACTGGCATTCTTTTTTTCACTCACAGTGAAATTGCGAAATTAGCTGTATTGCAGTCCAGAAGAATAGAATTTTTTTGTTTTTGTTTTTGTTTTGGGGGGGTACTGGGGTTTGAACTCGGGACCTTGTGCTCGCGAGGCAGGCAGCTGGACCACTGAGCTAAATCCCCAGCCCAAGAATAGAAATTCTTATAATTTAAACTGCCTTCTCTATGGAATTAAAAATGTCAATGAGCCTTGGCATGGTGGAGCCCACCTATGATCCCAGCACTCAGGAGGCTGAGGCAGGAGGATCACTACATGTTTGAGGCCAGGCTGGACTGGAATACATAACAAGATCCTGTCTCAAAAAATAAAAATAAACATAATCAACAAGAACAGAGTACTGTTTTTCACCCTAAAAAATCATTCACTAGGCATGATGGGGCACACATATAATGGCAGCTACTTGGGAGGCTGAGACAGGAGGGTCACTAGTTCAAAGCTAGTGTGGCAACTTAGAGGGACCCTATCGCAAAATAATAAAAAGGCTGGGGATGTGACTCAGTGGTAGGGTGCTTGCCTACTAGTTGCAGGACTCATGGGCTCAATCCCCAGTACTGCAGACAACCAATATCAATACCTGAGCATATTTGAGCAACACATAGGCAATTTATCAAACTATTGCTTTTTTATGTGTTTTAGAGCACACAAAATACATGCATTTACCTTAACTTTCTCTATCCTCAAATACTTAAGATTGAAGATACTCCCATTTTAAAAATGGGACAACTTATGCAATACTGTGAGTTAGCCAGAGGTAGAATGGAAATAAATTTATTCCAGTCTTTGCAGCCTTGTTCGAGTACTTCATCAGGCCAGGTACTTTCCAGACGCTGAGGTTAGAGAGTTGAGTAAGTTGACATTTTTACACTTGTACACCTCCCTACTCCATGTTTGTCAGAGTTTTTCTCTTGGACTTAACTGAGTGAGTTGGGCAAACCATGTGGTCTGGAGCATTGCCAACACGAGCAGTGTCTTGGAAGGGACAACCACTTGATACTCTGGTTTCAGTCGCCCAGGCACTCAGCCTGAGGTGGTTCTGCACCATCCTCCTGGGGTGCCCTGGGCTGCACCTCTCCCAAAACCGTGTCCTCGTCTCAGCATCGTCGCTGCTTACCGGGTCAGTCCTGCCTGACTAGAGGTCCAGTGCATGAGGATGCAGAATTCCTCCTCCTTGATCCCAGTCTTTCTGCTTTGTATGAGCTGAAAGGCTGGACTTGAAATTAGGCCTTGGGTAGAATTAGAAAACTGGGCAGCCAAACTACTGCCTGAGTGCAAGAGATACCCACCCTCCACATCATTGGGGGAATCTGTTTCCAGGTAACCGGAGGTACTGAAAATAGAAGTCAGAGGCCTTTGAGTAGTCAGAAAACAGAAATATTATTTCACTATAAACTATAAGCAGCCCATCTTGAATTTTCCAAACCATTAGAGAGCTTATTATCAGAGCCAGTATTACATGCAAAAAAAGGCAGAGCAGAGATGTAGTATGTTCTATATAAATGATACCTGGATGCTTTCCTCCTAATGAAGGAGTTGAAATTTCAGTTAGACTCTTTTGAATTTAAATTTTTTTCAAGTAATTGACTTTTCCAGCAAAGTCCAAGTCATTTGGTAGCATCCTAAATGTTTTCTCTAGCACTTACTGGTATCATATCAGAACATCGGAATATTTAAAAGGAAGAAATAAATCTGATTTGTGCTGAATTTCTTTTGTTTTGTCCCTTACTGCCACTGTTAGTTCTGATTATTAATCTGCTGAACTAAAGATGGGCCAACCTAGACCCTTGCAAACTGCCCAATATTGACATACTCTTTTACATATTTCTGTTTAAGGGGCAGGAGAGAAGGGAGGACAATGATAGGTATAGCAACAGTGAGATGAAAGTAGATCTCATTCATTCATTTTGTAACAGATGTTTGTTTGTTTTGTTTTTTTGGTACCGGGGATCGAACTTGGAACCTTGCGCTTGCGGAGCAGGTGGAAGAACCACTGAGCTAAATCCCCGGCCCTGTAACAGATTTTTTTTTTTAAGGTTCTGGGTATTGAACCACATGCTAGCCAGTTGCTCTACCACTGAGCTACATCCTCAGTCCTCAATCTGTAACAGATGTTAGTTAAAATAGCCTTCTATATCCGGAGCGAAGGGAAAGGAAAGAAACTTCCTTAGGAGCCAGAAAAGGGAATAGATCTAAAACTGGAAAGTGACTTGGTGGGGGTGGCCTGGGGAAAAAATTTAAGTACTCAGAGGCTTCACTCACATCTTACTCTTGAACTAAAAATCTGGATTATAAAAAATTTCTATCCTTATGACAATCTAGGGGAAGGAGGTCCCACGCAGAGAAAACTGCCAGGGCAATAGCCTTCAGCTAGGAGTGAATTTGGTATGTAAAGAAACAGAGAAAAGGCCTCAGCCTGCAGCTAGAGAGCAAGGAGGTCGGAGAGGCTCAAGACCGGGCTGGAGGGGAAGCCAGCGCCCTCAGGTCATAAAAGGCGCAGTGGGCCCTGGGAAGGGTTCTGGATTTTATTTTGAGCGCACTGGAAACCTTGGGCTTTACACTGAAGGATGATATGCTCTTAAGGAGATTCATCTGGCAGTAAGGACAGCCAATTGATAGGAGCAAGAGTGGATACAGGAAGACCAGTTAGGTTATTGAAGTGGCTTGATCTGAGAAGTAACAACAGCTTGGACCAGGATGGTGATAACAAGGCCCTGTTGTAAATCCACATTTTTCTGACTTCCTGTATGCTTGTTCAGTGCAGTCTTTAGGGTTAATCAGCTTTACATTTGAATTCAAATGCAGTAGCATTTTGAAGTAGCATATAGTTCTATGATTTCTAGGGACCATTTTTTTAAATTACTGAAGTTTTTAACAAGTACTGACTCTAAAACATCTGATTTCTCTTTGGCTTACTTCTGTGTACTCATTCTATCTAAATTTATAGTATGTATCCAGGTGTTTTTAGAAGTTGTATGTAGTTATTAGGATATTTATTGTCTTATTACAGAAACACAGCTACAGAAAAAACAACAAAATATAACGGAAAAAATAGCATGTGATCTCACTATCCAGATAAACATTTTGTTTCTTTTTAGTCTTTTTTTAATGGACAGATATTTATTTCCAAATGGTTGCTATTTTTTAAAGAAGTAAAGTTTCCAAAAAGTTTTCATGCAAGTCAGTAGTTTGTTTCATTTACAGTGGACCCTTGACTTAAAATCCAATTGGTTCCCAAGGGCTGGTTGTACCTCGAGTTAGTTATAAGTCAATACAGCTGAAATCTGGATATTTACCTGGGTACACACTATAAATAACAAGAGGCAGATGACTCTTCCATTAACCAAATTAATCCAATATGCTAGTATGTCAGGCCGGTCATAACTTGAGAGTCCATGTACTTTTTCAAAGCATCCTTTAAGGTGTTGGGTCAATTCCTTATTTTCTGAAAAGCTAACTTTCCCTTAGGTGTTTATTACATAACTCTTTTTTTGCCTTGCCTGTGTTCTTAGCCAGATTTGCAATAATGTCCTTAAAATGTTCATCAGGATAATAAAGTCAGATTCATCTGAGAGCTCAATTTTTTTTTTTTTTTTTTTTTGGCCTTGTCTTTGTCTCTGGGCTGTAACTTGATAAACTTTGACAGAATTCACCATTATAATTTTCAGGTAATATCAATTAAATGTCAGTTTGCTAATTAACGTAGATTTTTTCTAAGATTATTGTGATTTACTTCAGCTTATAGCACTGTTTTGGGGGCTTTCTGTTCATTTTTTTCAAGACAGGGTCTTGTTATGGAGTCCAGAGTTCGGGCTAGCCTTGAATGTTCTGTGTAGTCCAGGCTGACCTCCAATTCGCGATCCTCCTGCCTCAGACCCCACAGTACTGAGATTATAGAAGTGCATTATCTGACACAGCTTATATCTTCTAAATATTAGAAATCTTCTAAATTTTTTGGCACTAATTTGATCTTATCTATGAAAGTATACTAAAGAAAATATAAATTCCTTTTGAAATGTATTTGTCCTGAATGCAGGCTAAAATGTAATAATAATTCTTGATTGTTTTTGCAGACCTCCAAGGAAGATCTTCTACAAGCTGATTTTGAAGGTGCTTTAAAGTTCTTCAGAGTTCAGCTTCCAAAGAGATACAGGGCAGAGGAAAATGCAAGAAGATTGATGGAGCAGGCTTGCAATATTAAAGTAAGATACATGAATTTATATACGATAAAGGTATAATAATTTGAATGTAGAATATCATAGCAAATTATGTGAAACTCCTCTTTTGTATATTTCAGGGTTTTGACAATGTTTAAACTAACAATTTTGTATAAATTAGTCTCTTCCAGACTAAAACTTAGTCGCTATACCTTCTAGTAGGATTTACAGTAAAAATTGACAGGTTCAGATTGTAACAGGAAGAAGTCGAATATTTATGTTATAGGTAGGGGTCTAAAAAGGGCTGTTGTGACAGTGGTTTCTATGGCAGCACACTTAATATTTATCTTTTGCCTTCTGTTTTAAGATTATTTAGAACAAAGCAAGAAAAGCCTGCTTAAGCAATGCTTTCATTTCTCCAAAGAACTTAGAAGGTTTGAGTCTTGATTCCTGTCCCACACCTGCCACATGTCTGTCGATACACTGGTCTGTGTTACATGTCTGATAAAACAATAAACCTTGCAATTTAATTTTTTTTTTTTTTTTTTTGTACTTGGGAATGAACTCAGGACCTTGCACTTGCAAGGCAGGCACTGGCACCACTGAGCTAAACTCCCGACCCCTTACAATTTAATTTTAAACTGTAAACTATCTGGAAAGTTTTTTATTAAGGTGAGAGAGCACAGTTTTCACATAGTCGAAACAAAGTGGGTGTGATGGTGAAAGCCAACCACCACGGGGGAGGGAGGTGGTGGTGGGGGCTGTGGCAGGGAGATCACTGCACATTTGAGGCCAGCCAGGGGCTACATAGTGAGTTTAATACCAGCCTGAACTACATATATATGAGACTATGTCTTTAAAACAAACAACAAAACAGTGGCTGAAACCAATTTATTAGTATTAATTCTTACATCTCTGGAGTATACTAGAGGATCTCCTTAACCAACCATGACACAAATATAAATTTGTTTCTTAAACAGATGGACAAACAGGTTTTAAGGGCTTTATATTTCTTGCAGAAAAAAGGGCAATAAAATAATTAACCTAATTTAATAATAAAAAGGTGATAGCTGTGAAAAAGAAAAAGATGGGAAAGAGGATAGATTGGATTGGCGGTGGAATGGACAGTTATGACTGTTGTTAGATAGGGTAGACCTCTCTAAGAGCATGGCTGAGTCACAGGGTTATTCATGGAGACCCCTGGGTTAAGGACGTTCCAGCAGATACAACAACCAGTTCAAAGGCCCTGAGGCGTACTTGTGCCTAGTGAGTTTGAGCAAGAAGGCTAATGTAGCTGGAATGAAGTGAGTTAAATCAGCGTAGTAGGAAAGGAAGGTAGCATACTTACAAGGAACCAGAAATTGTGTCTGATTGTGATTTAGGCTTTACTTTGAAGTGGGAGGGCCTTGCCGGATTTTGGGTAGAAAAGTTCCTTCAGGTACCAAACCCACAGTACAACTTTTTAGTATAATACTTTTGTCTTCAATTTTAATATATTTTTAAGTAAATTACAAATGTTAGCATAATTCAATGCTGAAAGTAAATAACTTTGAGGAAAAAAAAAAAGTCTTTCAAATGAACCCTATATTCAAAAAGATCATTTTCCAAGTATGTCAGGAAAAACAGGCCTCTGCCATCTTCATCTTGAATTATAACTCTTTCCTTTTTTTTTTTTAACTACACATCTTTCTTAAACTTTGTTGCCACTGCAACCACCAGTACTCCAATTATTTAAATCCTACTCATCTGTCAAGAGCCCCCTCTTTCAGGAAGAGAGGCATCTAAAGATGCCTGAAGGGGTCTGTAACACTAGGGAATGCTGGTGCAATAAGGCCTGTCCCCAGCTGTCTCGCTTGCTCTTGCTTGCCTGCTGCAGTCCTCTGAGGCATGAGTTTAGAAGTGCCCGGGACCCAGGCATGTGAAAGGTGAGAGGAAATTCATATCTAATTGTCTTGTTTTGGTACCAGGGATTGAACTCAGGATCTTGCACTTGCCAGGCAGGCATGGTGCCACTGAGCTCAGTCCCAGCCCTGAATTATAAACTCTTTAAAGCCTTTTAGACCTTTGATTTTATTCAGCAGGGCCAAGGTCTAAGCCTAAGCCATTCTGAAAGTGTACTAAAATAGACATGATGCCTTTGGTTGAATTTGTAGGAGGTAAGTTAGAAAGTTAGAAAGGAGGCTTCAGCCACTGGTTGTTCCAGAGCTGCCAGGGAGGCCTCAGCTAGGCTAACTTCAGAAAATATGTTGACCCATCTGACATTGCCGTAGTCACTTGGTTGCTTAGTCAAGACCTAAGTGAAAGACGCTTAAAGTGCCTGATCTGAACATCCTGCGTTGTTCTGGGGAATCAGCTTTTTATTGAGTATCATTATTCAGCTTCCACCGTTAGTTAAAAATTCTATTACAGAGCTTCTCAAATTTAGATTTTGGCTCTAGAGATTCTGAGTCATCAGGTATGTGAATTTCTTTGTATGAACATATGAACATTTTGTTCTTCCTGGTAAGACAACATATAAGCTTTCATTGGATTCTGAAAGGGAATCAGTGACTCAGAAAAGCTGGCCTCTATACTGAGGGACAATCTTAAAATTGTCAAGCAAATTGAACATTAAAAGAATATTAGAAGTTATAAATGGGACCTATATACACTCAAGTGCATATAAATATCTATATATATATATATATATATGTATATGAAACCTTTATAATTCTTGATCCTATTGTCTACTTTTCCACATATTTTTATATTCTATATATTTTTATTTACTATCATTTATACTTAGGTTGGATTTATAAAATTTTGCTTGTCAAAAACTATCTACCTTTAGATGTATATGATCTAATTCAATGTTATGTACTTCTTTAAAATTCAAATCAGTGCTATGTACATAAATGATGGAATATTAAAAATTTGAATCTTTCAAACATATTGAATTCATCTAGCTGACATTGCTCTGATGAAAAATAAAAAGATGAACTAAAAGGGGCCGGGATTTAGCTCAGTGGTTTTGCTGCCTGCCTCGAAAGCACAAGGGCCCAAGTTTGATCCTGGTTTTTTTTTTAAAAAAAGATGAACTAAAAGAGTGAAACATTTATAGTTTAGAGCTGTGATGGTGAACCTTTTAGGGCTTTCAGTAATCACTAACAGCCCACTGCAGCATGTGTGCCACAGATTTTCCAACATTGGTTTAGAGTATTATATATGCCTTGCTTTTATAGCCATGTCAACGTTTCCTGAGAGCTACTTTCCAAAGATTGGAAAGAAAGTCTCTTTTGAAATATTGCAGATGCTAAATTTATAATGGACTTTACTATAGTAGAAAGTTTATAATTTCTACATTATAAATTTAAAAATTTAAATTTCTACATTTTGGATACCTTGTCTAAAATAGTCTGTTGATAATCTTCATAACAGAATGCTGTGAAGTACAAATTACCCTATTAAATTTATATTTTATTAATAAAATAACTTGAGCAAAACTTCAAAGTGTAACATTTGCTTAAACTTAATAATTTAATAATTAACAATGAAATATCATTTATTGCGCACCTGGTTTATGCCAAGAACTGTGTAGAGGAAGTAAGGGCCAGCTCGGTGTAGGGAGATATCAAGTGATGGCTAATGGAGTGTGGTAGGAAAGAAGGTGAAGACAGATTGGGACTGAGACATTGCGGCGGGGCGGCGGGGAGTTGTTGAACTCCTTGAACAGGAAAAACGGTGCAGAAGATTCAGTGTCTTGTTTGTAGTTGTTACCCAAGGAAGGAAAAAAAATTCTTTTCTTCAAAAATTCCTAAAGACATTTTTCTGCCACTAAAAGGCGATACTGTCCAATTTCTCAGTCATCAGCTCAGGTTAATTGGTGGCAGCAGAGCCATGCTAGTCACTGTTTGGGCATTCTTGGTCAGTTCCCATGAACCCCTCACTAACATTTCCCCCATCACCATCGCTTAATCCCCTGACCCAAGCTTCTCTATCACTGTAACTAGAGGAGAGGTAAACAAAGACGGCACAAGCAATGAGCAGAAGGAGTGAGGAAGGCCTCTAGAGGCTGAACATAGAGCCCTCAACTGGCCTCTTCCTACTCCACTAGAAGGGCAAGGAGGCCACCAATGACAGGATTTGCCATAGTAACGACTTGCTTCAGAAATTCCAAGTGGTGCGATATGGTGCTGCACAGCTTCCCACACCCCCAGAATGGACAAATACAACTTGATATTGCCCTTCACAAATCATGGTTTTACTAGGGTCATGGTGAATTCCTTTATCTACAATTTAATATGTTTTTCAAGACCTTCATCCAAATTTGTAACCATGGATTTGAATTTATTTGAAAATGACTTTCATTCTAAAGCAAAACTGTAAAGTGCATTTTATATTTAAAGCAATTTACTTCTAATTTCATCATGCTGTTTGCTACTTCTTGCTAGCTGTTGTTGCTGTTTGTGAGCAAGAATCTACTCTACCAAAGAGGCTTTCTTTGAAGTGAAACTACTCAAGCTTTTGTTAACTCTGTGAATCTAAAATGTGCACCCTTAAGTTCATCGTTGAAAATGTTCATTTTTTATTAACCTGTGTTGTGTACTCCTTTCCTTGAAAGATTTCTGTACATTGACAGTCATACTGGAGATATTTGTTCTAAAGTGTCATAGTCTGCTGGAGAAATGTTTATTATGTTATTGGGCATTGAGGTATAATCATTTTAACAATTGGTAATGAAGACCCACCCCCCACCCCGCTCCTATTAGCATTCATAATCCTCTTTGCCCCTCAGATTTAGGGCATTGTTGTTTTCTCCGAGTGAGCAAGGAACATGTGTAAATGTTGGATATACTCTGGACATAAAAGGTGGAGAAGACAGGACATAGCTCCAGATGCCCAGATATCAGGCATCTTCCACATGTAGGAAACTCAGTTTTGTTGCTGCTCCTAATCAGCTCAAATGGATATCTCTTTTATTTGCTTCTGCCATTTTGTTTTTACCCTTAGAACTACTCTGCCATTTTCTGCCTTTTTATTAAAAAGAAAGCCATGTAGGGCCAGGG